CTAGTTTAATCTCTGATTTTGACATTCTTCTTGGGGCAACCATTAAATTTAAGGTCCTTGTATAGATCATCAAATGGAACAATTCAAGGTCAATCAGATATAAACATATCTAACAATGGCCACAGTTGCACGGAAAGGCTTCACAATTAATGCAACTATAAAACCATTTGGATTATTTATTTCACTGGCTTTTTTATCCTCAGGTTCATTTTCCTGGACTTTTAAAAGCAATTGGGATTATAAAAATTCAGTGTTGGTGATCTTTGTTATTTTACCACCCACTAAATTCATGGAAAGCACTTCACCACACCTATTAAAAAGATGCTTAAAATTATACGTTGTTGTTGTTAGGTGCTGTCAAGTCGATTCCAACTCATAGCGACTCGACATGAATAGAGTTGAATTGCCTCATAGGGTTTCCTAGGCTGTAATCTTTCCAGGAGCAGATCCTCAGGTCTTTCTCCAGAGGAGCTGCTGGGTGAGTTTGAACTGCTGACTTTCCAGTTAGCAGCCAGGTGTTTAACCACTGTACCACCAGGGCGCCTTTAAAATTATGTAGTTTAAAAAAGAAGATAATATTACTTTGTGATAATATATTGATGTTCTAAATCAACTCCTCCAGAACAACCACAGCAAAATACACACACAGATACACACACAGCTTTGATTTGTGGCATTTTTTCCCCCAAATCACCCTTCCCTGATACACACAAATCTCAACACATTTTAAAAAATATTTTAAAGCCAAGGCATGCATTAGTATCAAGTTCAATGATTATTCAAGGCTTTTGGTACAAAATGCCTTCATATGTATATTATACAATTTATATTATTTATGAAACTAAGTGTTGTTTCATGCAGGTATGTTTGAAAATAAGTTCTATCTTACAAACTGGAATTATTTGGAGAGTGCCCTCCCTTACAAGCTATTTCTCTTTCTGTAGTCTCTTTTTCTTTTTCATCTTTACTTCAGGTTTTTTCAGAATAAATTGTAGTGACACTTAAAAACTGTTCCAATATATTTCAGTATACATTTATTCTTTTGTATTCTACCAAAGTACTCTTAACCTTTTAAAATTTAATGAGTATTTGAGCATCGCATCTTGTTCCTGTATGGAAAGGGATACCAAACATAGGTTGCTAAAGCAATCACCAAATTGAACTTGTGTATGACACACTTGACAAGGAATTTGGACTTTCTTTTCTACCCTGGAAACCCTGGTGGCGTAGTGGTTAAGTGCTACGGCTGCTAACCGAAAGGCTGGCAATTTGAATCCACCAGGCGCTCCTTGGAAACTCTATGGGGCAGTTCTACTCTGTCCTATAGGGTCACTATGAGTCAGAATCAACTCGACGGCAATGGGTTTGGTTTTTTTGTTTGTTTTTCTACCCTACATG